AGCAGACCAGGGTACTGTTAAAACTGGCCTACATAATGTTTGTAGTTTGTCAGCAGAGGTGATTAAATGGTGGGCAGTAGACCTTCATTTAGTGTCGTGGGAATGAATCTGTATGTAAACATGCCAATGGATTCTGCATAGTTAGCACAAACTATTGGCTCCATTCTTCAGGAGTTCTCTATGCATGGTTTCTCACCTCTTGTGTATGAGAAGACAACACAGCCACACGGTGATCTCTCTGTCGAACATCATGATGAATGATGCGACCGCTAGCAGAACCACTGCTCAGAATGTAAGAATTCCATGACAGAGAGGTGACACTTGCCGAGTGGCCGCCCATGATACGCAGTCGCCTCCTCTCGCTGCAATCCCACAACTTTAAAAGCAAAACAATTCGATTAATCATTTTGAGTATTCTAAAATTACAAAACAATGAGAACTCAAAAACATTTATTAAAATGTCATGAAATGAAAGCAGAAAATAAAAGTTTTTTGAATGGGGCAACAGATAAAGGATAGCATAGTGCACTAAACATTTGCAATTCCTGTACTACTATGACTACCACTATCATTATTATTTATTATTTTCAAACCACATGACCACAAACCAGGCTCAAATCTCATCATCTTGTTTTCTAATTACTACTGATCTCACACAGTCCATGAAGTGCGAATTTATTGTTTACTACAGTAATACCGTTCACATAAATAGTTAAGAAAAAGAAAAGTACTTTCAAGAATAAATATCCATACAAACTACAGTGAAACCTCGATGCATCGTTTTCGGCGGGGGTGGGAAATAAAAACGATGAATGCGGGAAAATGCTTTGAACCATGTTATTTAAAACACATTTTACCATCTGATTGTTCCTTCCACCAATAACATCATATTTATATGGATATAAGGTATATGGGAAGTAAAAGCAAGGATAGCCATGGCCAAGGCAGCTTTCGTCAAGAAGAGGATACTTCTCACTAGCAAGTTGGGCTTGGAGATGAAGAAGAAACTAGTGAAGTGTTACGTATGGAGTGTCGCGCTGTATGGAGCAGAGACTTGGACACTCAGGAAGAAGGAACAGAAATACCTGGAGAGTTTTGAAATGTGGTGTTGGAGAAGAATAGAGAAGATCAGGTGGACGGATCGAGTGACCAACGAAGAAGTATTGAGGAGAGTCAACGAGCAAAGAAGCATTCTGCAGGCGATTACACGAAGGAAAGCTAACAACTGGCTGGGACATATTATGAGAAGGAATGGGTTACTGAGTGATGAAGACTGATGCACCTAACCGACGATCTGAAACAAGGAAAGAAGATGAAGTTCCAGGAATTAAAACGAGAAGCTGAGAATAGGGAAAACTGGAGAGCTCTTTTTGGGCAGAGCAATGGACCTGTCGTAAGACAGAACATTGAATAATAATAATAATAATAAGCTATGTGAATACCTAAGTCACACCTGACTTTCAATAAGAAAATAAATAAGATATAATTTGCAAGCTGCATCAAAACTTTTAAATTAATTTTCCCCTCAGGTACCAGTGATTTTTTTCTTTTCAGAAAAAGAGAGGGTGTCAGTTTCTCCAAGAACCTAGAAGAATACAGGTGTTTCATCCACACCTCCCACTTAACTTGAAGGTAACATCTTTCAAGAGCTGACAATTTACATGCTGCTAATTCTGATTTTGGGTAACATAACAAACCTGTATAACTCCCATACTTGTTCCCACAGCAAGACAATCTCCTTCTTGTATCCAACTCAGAGAACATACAAAATCACTCCCTTCCAGACTGAGCAATTTCTCAATAGCACCAGTACCAGCATTCCACAGATACACACTGGTGTTAAGAGCAACTGCCAGAATGTTGTTGGGACTCCAATCAATCAGGTTCAGATCTGAAATAATAAGGACAATTACAATAAAATTTATGACTCAAATTAGAACAAAATTTTTAAAGAGGCACAGTATATTATGCATAACCAAAAACTGATTACAGTTGCGGACTATACATATATTCTGACTGCAAAAACATGTAAGGTGAACCAGATTCAACACATTGTTTGAGGGGTGTCCATTATACTTTAAGTCATTTACACAGGGTTTGTGCATACAATATAATGAAAACTGCATTGCACAAATTTTCATTATGTGGAGAAAATCACCAGATTATTGCCTAGGGTTTCTTAAAATAAACTGTACTGAAATGCTGATTTGTTATGGCAATATTGTAAATAAATATACCCACTAAAAAGCACCATACGTGTCACCAAGGGTTTTCTTCAAATACATTGCATGAAACTGCTTCAATCTTCTGTAAATGCCCTTAATTCACACATAAAGATTAATAAATACAAACCCCGACTTGTGACTTCCAAAATACAGTGAAACCTCGATGCATCGTTTTCGGCGGGGGTGGGAAATAAAAACGACGAATACGGGAAAACGATAGTTGCGGGAAAGCATTAAAAATTTAAAAAAAACAATGTTTCTCTTTCAAAGTTACTTCTTTTTACCAAAAAAGTCTTTAATGGACAACTGGTTTGTCGAAACTTTACGTTTTAGGCCAAACAGAGCCCTTTCCACGTTCAAAATGTTTTCCTCGTCACGTTCACTAATATTAAGCGCATAAAAGAACGACTTCACTTTTGCCAATGCAGCGTGTGCTTC